ATATTCCATCCAAACTGGGAGCAGTGGCTCACTTCTGTAATCTCAGCACTCTGGGAGGCTGAGGGGGGCAGATCACTTGAGGTCAGGAGTTCGAGACTAGCCTGGCCAATATGGTGAAACCCCAATCTCTCTTAAAAATACAAAAATTAGCAGAGTGTGGTGGTGGGCACCTGTGGTTCCAGCTCCTTGGGAGGCTGAGGCCAGAGAATCTCTTGAACCTGGGAGGTGGAGGTTGCTGTGAGCCAAGATTGTGCCACTGCACTCCAGCTTGGGTGACAAAAGCAAAACACCATCTCAATATATATATATATATATATATATATATATATATATACATATATATATATACATATATATATATATTTCCATCCATATACTAACTTTCCAACACAAATATTCAAGGACGCTTTAGTGACTAAATTTTATTTTCTGAAAGCTACTGTTTGGAAATCTTCATCCTCCTAACTCAAGCAGGTCATTTTACCCAGTGCAGGGTTGGCAGCAGGTTGGCAACCCTGACTTGGCAGCAGGGTTGGTATTTTTATGATCATTTGAGATTTATAATTTATTTATTTTTAAAGTAAAAACAATCTGGTTCTTCTTAGTAATTTTTTTTACGTTTTTTCCTAAAAGGTTACATCTAGATATTCTTAGCCAGTGCCATTTCATAAATGGAAAACACAAAGCCAGACATAGTTTTAGGTCCTCAACTGTTTCATCCTATGGCTCCACCAACCTCTGGACCCTAACAGCACACATTTCTGTCTCCTCATTTGCTTTTGTAGAATCCCCGTGCACACAGAAAAATATTTAGGTAATCAAAGTTGTTCCTCTGAATCCACCCTTTTGGGGCTCCATCCTAGCTTATGGGTGATCCATGTCTGCCTAGTGAGCACCCTTCTCAAACACAAACACACATGCCCCATAATTATAACTTGTCCTGTGCTCTCTCCAGACAAAAACCCTATGGTTCAGTTTTTCTCTCACTTCAAACAAAACTGATGTGCTCAGCATTTCTCTTATTCATGTCTTAGTACAAAAACGTAGTAAATGACATGGCATGAGTTTTTAGTGGTTTACAGGTTTCTATTGGAAGATGTTAGGTTTGCTTTTCAGTATCAGAGTAACATAATACCTTCCCCTAAGGTTGTAATTCCAGTGGTGGTTATTTCATGAGTGTTTTAGTGGTTTTGGTTCTACATGTTATCTTCTAGTAACTACTACCGAACCCACCAACCCGTTCCAGTGCCCCTAGGAAAGTATGGATGAAAGGGAGAATGCTAACAACCCAAGGAAGTCTCTTTGCTTTCCAAGTCCCTGGATTCTGTACTCTATGCCTTCCTGCTGGCAGGGCCAAAGTGGCATTTCCTAGCAGGAGAAACATGCACACAGTGAAAGAGAAGCTGTCTTGTCAAATACAAAAGCAAATAAAGTACATGAGTGAGTACAGGGGGCCTAATTTCAGGCTCATTCAAATTCATCCCAGCCTTCCTTTTCAGTGCCCCAATAATTCTGTGTGAATTTTGTCTCACTGGATGAAAAATCACTCCTACTCCTATTATCCAATCATCATCCTTCATTTAATCTGAACAGAGGCTATTTTCTCCTGCAAGAAAGTCATCCTCAGGAGGGATTGCAGGTGGGAATTTCAGTTGCCTGGCAGGCTGGTGGATGTTAGCTGTGCAAATCTTCACAGTTTTTTCAGACTATAATTTTTGCACAGATCTCCCAACTTGTTTTTTCTAGTGACAAGGTCTTGCTCTGTTGTCCAGGCTCTTATACAGTGGCGTGATCATAGCTCACTGTAACCTCAACCTCCTGTGCTCAAGAGATCCTCCCAACCTCAGCCTCCCAAGTAATTGGGACTACAGGTGCATACCATTGCCTGGCTTATTTTTTTAAAAAAAAAATTAGTATAGATGAAGTGTCCCTATGTTGCTCAACCTGGTCTCGATCTCCTGGGCTCAAGCAATCATTCAGCCTTGGCCTCCCATAGTGTTGGGGTTACTGGTGTGAGCCACCACATCCAGCCTCCTGACTTATCTTCAGAGCACACAGCCTTGGTCCAGAGGGGCTGTTGTAGTTATGGTTGCTGTATGTAATTTCACAGGTCTTTGTCACCTCCACAGGTTAGTTCTCTGTGCTCTTTTACCAAGACTTGTGACAAAGACCCTTTGCTTCGTGGAAAGGCTGGAATGCTGCTGTGGGTCTTCTCATTCAAGAGATCACTATCTTTGCTAGTCTGTTGCTCTCCAAAGCTCCCATTCCTTATGATAACTCTGGTTCTTGATAGTGAATTGGAGCTTGGTTAAATATAATTTGATAGCTGGGGTCAGTTTGCACACCTGCTCTTGATCTTCTAAAGCAGCAAAACCCAATGCAAATATGTGATCTTCCCATGTAATTTGAAATATTCTGGGTTTAAATTACACATATAATTGTCTTAGTCTGTTTTATGCTGCTATAACAGAATATCTCTGTTTGAGGGAAAAACTCTTAAACTATTTCCTCTGCTCTTACACCACAAAAGTCATCAACACAGAAGACTTCTATGACCAAATATGTAGGGGGTTTCCCCATACACCAAGCAGTGGACACCAGCTAGGTGTCCTCCAAATCAGTTCTGACACTATCTACCAAAAGATAGTGTCAGACCCCACAGGTTGAGGGCTCAGTCCCATGAGACCACCCCTTACTTCCCACCAGTCGCAAGTCCAGACCTCCGGAACTTCTGACCAACTGGCTCCAAGTTGGGGTTCCTACAGACCCTTTATGGGTTTAACTGATTGGCTGGAGAGGCTCACAGAACTCAGAAAAACACTTACATTTAATGGTTTACTATAAGGGATAGCACAAAAGACACAGATGAAGGTCAGACATGGTAGCTCATGCCTGTAATCCCAGTACTTTGGGAGACCAAGGCAGGAGGATCACTTGAGGCCAAGGTATGGGGGAAGAGTTGCCGAGCTTCCATGCCCTCCCTGGGCACCCTACCCTCTAGAAACCTTTACATGTTCAGCTCTGTCCTTTGGGGTTTTATGGAGGCTTCATTATATTGGCATGATTAACAACCAAGTATAAATGTGATTAGACAAAAACCACATAATTTAAACCCAGCAAGGCCTGCCTGTTCAGGCTTTTCTTGGCCTGTGTAGCATTCCTTCCTCTAGAGTTTGAGACAGAACTCTCTGGAATGAGGCTCTTATGACCCAAAATGAGATTAGAGTCCTGCCTTGGGCAGGTGAAAGAAAAACAGGAGAAGGTCAGAGACAGATTCTGTTACCTGAGGCCTAAAGTGTCCCAACATTATTATATAACAAAAGACTGTAACAAGGGTTATGGGAGTTATAAGCCAGGAACCATGGATGAAAGCAGCATATATGTCATAACAACACAACCTTAGACTGAGCAATTTATAAAGAACAGAAATTTATTCTCTTACAATTACGGAGGCTGGGAAGTCCAAGATCGAGGCACCAATGATTTCAGTCTCTAATTCCAAGATGATGCCTCATTGCTGCATCTTTTGGAGAGAAGGTACATCGTGTACTCGCCTGGCAGAAGAGCTGAAGGAACCGACCCATTCCCATAAGCCCTTTTTATAGTAGCATTCATCGTTCACGAGGGTGGAGCCCTCATGACCTAAACATTGCCCATTAGGTCCTATCTCCCAGCACTATTAGGGATTAATTTTCAACATGAGGTTTGGAAGAGAAAAACATATTCAAACCACAGCAGTAAATTTAAAATATAAAAAGAAACAGGTGAAATTAATTTCAATAATTTATTTAACCCCAAATGTCCAAAATATTATCATGTAATCAATAATCAATATAAACATTATTAACAAGATATTTTATACATTTTTTTGTACTTGGTCTTTGAAATCCACTGTGAATTTTATACCTATGGTACATCTGAGTTTAGACTAGTCACATTTCAGGTGTTCAAGAGCCACGTGTGGACTAGTGGCTACTGCATAAGACAACACAGTTCTAGAGGAAGCATGGCATGACTTTGGAGGTCATCTAGTCTGACTTGTTATTGATAGAAAAATTGAGTACATCGCCTCAATGAGGTTATACAACTTATTAATAGATGAGGAGCAATTAGAACCCAATTGTCTTCACGCTACCCCATGGTTTTATTCACAAAGTTGACTGGCAGCAAAGCTGGACTGGCACTTATGCCTCTTCACACCTGCTCTTGGGCTCTTTTCTACAAGGCATTGCCCTTCTTCCTGTCTTATCTTTCTCCTAAATAAGTTACTATAAAAAGCTTCACTGGCTGGATGTGGTGGCTCACACATGTAATCCCAGCACTTTGGGAGGCCAAGGCAGGCAGATCATCTGAGGTCAGGAGTTCAAGACCAGCAACATGGAGAAACCCCGTCTCTACTAAAAATACAAAATTAGCCGGGTGTGGTGGCACATGCCTGTAATCTCAGCCTCTTGGGAGGCTGAGGCAGGAGAATTGCTTGAATCCAGGAGGTGGAAGTTGCATGAGCCGAGATTGTGCTATTGAACTCCAGCCTGGGCAACAAGAGGAAAAAAAAAATGCTTCACTGGAAACAATTTGGCTATGAACCAAGACCAGAGTGGGGTTTAATCTTCCATATCTTTCCACAAAGATAATTTTTTATGACTTGTTACCCTTGTCCCTAGAAACTTATGGTTTCCGTAAGCTACTTAAAAACTGACTGATTATACAATGGGTCTCAACAGAAGTGTCCATCAGAATCATCTATGGAGCTTTTACAAAATTCAAATGACTGGTTTCCTACCCCGGAGTTCTGGTTTACAGATCAGAGAAAAAGGAAAGTCATGTAGATTGATTTTTTTTTAATGTTTCCCAAATGATTCTGATGCACACCCAAACTCATAGTGACCTTGCCAGCTGCCAGATCTCCGCTAACATTCCCTGATTGCCAGGCAGGGTGAACTCAGGAGCTTGATAAGTTGGGGAGGAGCCTGGTCTTAAGGAAAGAAACATGAGAAATAGATACCCTGAACACCTCCCAGGGTGGGGCCACCTGGTTACTTTTCCTCTGCATTTTCTCTGTGCCCAGGTACACTTTTAGCCTCATTTCCTGATCGAACCGCCTCACTTGTGTTGCTGTCAGTGCCGGTAGGACAGGCAGGAATGCAGCAGACAGGACTCACCGTCATGACCTTGGCTGTCTGTGTGGCCCTTCATGCCTCAGAAGGTGAGTGAGGAAACTGGCCACGTAGGCCTTCACTGGAAGGGGGATATCTCCCAAGTCTGTGCTGGAAGGCTTGAGGTGGGGCAGGAATATCTATCTCTTCAAGCAGGAATTTCCAATTGATTTCTGATTCTCTGTAAGAGAATGACATAGGTTTAAATTCTAGATCTCCAAGACGTTTCAGGAGGGTACCTCATTTTAATAGGCATACCAGCACTTTTTGCCACCTGTAGGATGAGGTCCCTCCATATAGGTGCAACTTCAAACTGTGTTTCCTTTTCTGACAACAGTATCTTACAAAATCCCCAGCTAGAAGCTGGAGTAAAGCCGTTGCTATTCGTCTGTCTTCCTCCTCACCCCAGCTTGCTAAGCTGTCTGAACACAACTGTGCACATTCCTGGAGGGAAAGACAGCCTTAACCAGCTGCTTTCAAGTTAGGTAAGCTGTAAATTTCCTGAGCAAAATCCGCCCCATGGATACAGAAAACTGAAACTTCAGTCTGATCTTTAGAAAGGGGAGCAGAGCTGAGCACAGTGGTGTATGCCTGTATTCCCAGCTACTCAGGAGGCTAAGGCAGGAGGACAGCTTCAGGACAGGAATTCAGGATTACTGTGAGCTATAACTGCACTGTGAATTGCCACTGCTTTCCAGCGTGGGCAGCATAGTGAAACCCCATCTCTTAAAAACAAAAAGAGGAGAGGATAGGGTTGGGGGAAGGAAAAGAGGAAAGGAAAGAAAAGAAGGAAAAAGAAAGCAGAAAAGCAGGATGAGGGAGATTGAACCATATAATTCGTGTAAAAGAGAATTTAAATTGTGAGTTGCTAGCATGTATATGGAGATTGTAACTACATTTGAACTAGAGGGAATCTCTTCTAAAGTAGCACTTGCTTTATTTAGGAAACTCAAAGTATCAGTACTTAATACTTGACTAATGACTCTTTTCCACTGTCATCTTTTCTTTAAGCTTTATCCTGAACAGATTCTCTAAGTCTAGAGCAGAGGTGGAATATAAGTCTTCTTTGGTCTGCTTTTTAAAAATTTGAGCCAATATTTTAAAACTGAAAGCTTTCTCATGTACATACTTATACATACACACATATAAATGGGATTTTAAAGCTTCTCTTGAAAAATCAGATCTGGCAACAAGGATTCCACCACACCGTGTCAAGAACTGGCTAAAGCAGATGAGCCTCTGAAGTCTGCTGTATTAAGTGCCTGGTCCCTGCAGGCATTTGCTTAGGGACTCCAATATAGTCCATTAATGTACTGGGCTTATATAAATAAGCAGCAGAAAAAACTGGACCATCTCTTCTCAATTTCTACGAATCTATCTATCTTATCAAGATAAAGGCAAAAGTTTGCCACGTTATGTTTCTGTAACATTTCTCAGAAAAATTCACCATTGTGATTTTAGAATTCATTTTCACTATTTCTCAAAGGTCTACCTAAGGCTTTACTCCTAGTTTTGGTAATTCCACCAACTCAAATTGTTTACACAAAACTTTGAAATATGTGCCTCCCTTGCAGCTTCCTGACCTACTCCCACGTGTCCCTAGAGCAGCAGCCCTCCTACAGGAAAGGAGGGAGGGAACAGCAGGTGGAGAAGGCAGAGGGTAATGAGGAAGGCTCTGCCATACCCAGGACCCAACTTCACATGACACTGAGTCTTGGTAGAGAAGGTAGGTGGGACGGCAAAATGCAGAGGTGTGAAAAGATACGGCTGCTGGCAATAAGGAAAGGGAGCTGAGAGACCCAGCAATAGCCTGTTGGCTTAGTCTCAGTGCTTCACCTAAGGCAGTTTGGGCCACAGAAAAATCATATTGCCTGAGAAACTCCAACTTTCTACCATTTAAAAATAAGTGATGCTGGGTAAAAATACACAAGTAGGCCTAAGAACAGTTGTGGAACCGAGGGGTAACGTCACAGCTATTCTTAGCAAACTTCCACTCAAGTGTCCATGTAAGCCAGGTGCCCTGTGGGAGGCACTTAAGTGATTTTGGCTGCAGGGAGGGGATGGGAGACCAAGTAGGGAGGGAGGAGGTAGAAAACATGCAGCAGTGCGGAGGACACGTGGCCTTGGCAACGGAAACAGGGAAATGGCCTGTGCCAGTTCGGAACTTTAGGAAATATATTTTGTTTTCTTCGGGCAGAAAGCTGTTCCCTTATCTTAATGGTGTCTCAAATGGCTATCTTAATGTGATGGCTCAATAACTGGCATTCCCAAAGTGTTTTGCATAAATCAGAAAGCAGGTGACTTTATGCATAATTGAAAACCTTGGATTCTACCCAAAGGTAGGGCACACTCCACATCTGCTGACGTGGCTGCTGGCTCCCAGAACTCAATACTGAATCCATAAACACGTCTATCATCCTGTTTCAGTGGCCCTGAGCCAGCTTATTTAAACCCACAATCTAGGGCTTTGTGAGCCTGGCTGTTTTTATTGTACATTAAGATTAAGGCTCACTTGTGCCCAGCAGATTCAAGTGAGGAGGTTTTGCTTCGGTGAGTCCCAAATTGTCTTCCCACTGACAACCTTTCTCAAAGTATGATGGTTACTGAATCACACCAATAATTGCTAGAGATGTGCTGTTTGCATCCTAAAACTTTTATCTTTTGTTTTAATCATAAGACACTGGCTAGGGAGGGTCACCATGAACATACATTTGTTACTCAGTGCTGTTCTGCACAATGAGGACTCTCCATTTCACCAAGAACGGTCCTTAAGTGGGCTGACATAATCTGCCCAGTAATCTGCCTTCCTTCAGTTTCTCTGCAGGTGTAGGTGAGACTACAGGTGCATGACACCACATCTGGCTAATCAAAAAAAAATGTTTCTGTAGAGATAGGGTCTCACTATGTTGCCCAGACTGGTCTCAAATTCTTGGCTTCAAGCGATTCTCCTGCCTTGACCTCCCCTCCTGTAATCCCAGCACTTTGGGAGGCTGAGGCAGAAAGATTACTTGAGCCTGGGAATTTGAGGCTACAGTGAGCCATGATCGCACCACTGTACTCCAGCAATGAGTGAGACACTCATCTCAAAAAAAAAAGTAAAAATTTACCAAAAAAATTATCGAAAAGTCACAAAAATTAAATAATTTATATTAATATTATGAAAGTTACAAACATTTAGTATATACTTTTAAATATAAAAATATAGAGAATTAAAAAAAGAAAGTCCCTCTTCATCATTCCTTTAACCCTTCTTCCCTCTCCAGAGGGTTCTGCATATCCTTCCAGACTTTCCTTTAAGCATTTAGAAATATGAACCCACACCAACTTTTTAAAACAGAAGCAGGACCACATACATCCACATCAATTTTTAAAAATAGAAACAGGACCACAATCTACATATTGTCTTAATATATATTTTTTCACTTAATCATAGATAACAGTATAACTATTCAGCACTAAAAGTTATTTCTGAAAATCTGCATCATTCATTTTATACAAAACATTTAAACTTTCCAGAACAACTGGGAATGCTAATGTTTCTTTACTCATTTATTATTACTATCAATCAGGATCTTATTAGGAGACAGAAACCAGAAAATTTGAAAGTTTAATATGAACAAATTATTAACTATAACAAGAGATAGGCTAGAAACAAAGAGAATTTTAAGGAATGTAGGAGTAGCAGATATTCCAAGGGCTAAAACAGATCACTCAAGGAAGCATTTCTGCACCCCTACCCTGTCCAGCTGAGATCCAGCCATGGCTCACCAAATGGCAGAAAAGTCACCTAGTCTGTACTGGCAGAACATGCTGGATATCTGCCTTCTAGTTTGCAGGGGAAAATACTTCACAGGGAAGCATCTCACTGGAGGCACTGGGCTACAAACCTGCCTGCAGGGGTATTGCTAGTTGTCATGCCCTGCAGGAGCCTGGTGTTGGAGAAGCCAAAGCGCTGCAGGAGCTGGGTCTACAAGAACCTGCTGAGAGAACGCTGGAGCCAGGAAGGAAAATCCCATCTTCCTGCAATATCTCTTCAATATCTTCTACAGATAAAGTTTAACAACGTGCCAGCTAGCCAAGGAAAAATATTTAAGGGCCCATCTCAATTTCATAGAACAGGCAATTAAGAGTGAGTTTGAAACGGAGGGAAAATAAATAAAGTGGCATATTCCACAAACACTTAATGGGCACCTACCTGTATACTTACTATGAGCCAGGGACTGTATTGCATATTGTCCCACATATGTCTTTTTTGTTTCCATTTATTGTGGACTATTTGTCACTCCTGTTCTAAGCACTTAAATGTACAAATTCATGCAATCTTCACAATAACCCTGAGGTAGGTGCTAGTACCACCCCCATATTATAGATAAAAGGATTGAGACATAGAGAATTAACTCACCCAAGGTCAGCTAGTAAGTAGCAGAAGCAGAATTTAAACCTAGTAGTCTCCACATGATTAAGTACTCTGCTACAAAGTCTCTCAGGATGTTTTCATAGCACAAAATAATCCAAACCCCTTCAAGTGGTCCCCTGACCACACTCTAGTATCTATATCACATTAAAGCAAAGAAAAATCCTCATCCACTCTCCATGCCCCCAAACATTATCCCAGGGTTCCAAAAAGTATCTGGGAGGACTTTATTTGGGCATAGCAGTTTCATATAACATGGACTGGTGAATCCTTCCTGCCCACTAAGTGACAACAGTGGCCATCTGTTGGCCTCCACAGCATGATCTGGCTACATTAAGGTGTGAGGTCCATGAGAATGGAGAGATGTGTTTTAACCATATTCTGAACATTATGTGTTGCCCTTCTTAAATTGCACTCATAGTCTTGAGACACTGCTAGCAGCTAAGTGAATCTTTTATATTATTTCAACCTTTCATTTGCAAATCCTTTCTCCAATAATGGCATGTACCGTTCTTTACTGTTTCTATTTTGCTGTGCTCTCTATATAGTACCAGTGTTTTTCAAACTGCATTTCTAATCAGCTCCCAGGCGATGCCATTGTTGTGGCTCTGGGAACCACACTTTGAGTAGTGAGAA